AACTGCCGCCAGACTCTTCCCAATCTCAGCCACCTTAGATTCCAGAGGGTCGTTAGAAGTTGACCGCCAACCGGTGCCTCGGTCACTCCGCGAATCTGAAGACGAAGATGGTCGAGCGTTCCGCTGGCGTCTCGAATGTGGGCATTGATTTGCATAGTGCCCAGTCTCACTGTAGTTGAAACATGTCACCGGACCGCGGCGTGGCTCCCGCTCGTAACTTCGATCCTTGTAATCGCGTCCGTCACGCCCAGTATCTCGATACTCTCGTTCATCCCGCCCTGTGCCTCGGTAATCCCGATCGTCAAAACCTTGGTTCCGCTGATCACCGTACCCGGCCATGACTGGCTATGGTACCGGTGACAAGAATAGAGTCTTCGTAGTCGCCTCGACACGTTACATAGAGTAAGTAGAATAGGTAGGTAACCGAGTAACTCGTGTTCACTTGTCCCGGCTAGTTGTCTCCAGGATAGTTCGCACGCGCAATAGACAGTGCAATGGTGGAAAGAACTCAACATAGAGTAGAGTAGTCTCACAGCAAAGAAGTAAGACAATGCGAAGCACAAAGTGCAAACTGATAGATAATGTCGATAAGCGTCAAAACCGTTCATCCACACTCCCAAGAACCTCCGAACGTTCCACTAACCCATCAACCGCTACCGCAAATGAGGCGGTCGACCGAAAGAGGTCTATTCCTGTTGCACATCTTCCTTTTATGTCTCCGCGTAACGGGGAAGGTACCGCACATCAAAACAATACATCAGGCACTGCCTGTACCGTAGTAATGTGCAGGGCTGGCAACCTAGGTACATCCTACTGCAAGACTGACCCTAAAAAAAGAAAGTACTAAAAGGCTACGAAGCCACTACAGATTTGAAGCTTCCTCGGCCCTTAGGCCACTCAACAACCAAAAGAAAAGAACAAAAACCAAACAAACGGTGTGGTGGACAAAAGGTCAGGCCCTGTCCTTACAAGCTCAACGTGAAACAGATCAAATTAACAAAGGATAATACAAAACAAAAAACAACGCAGTACTGCGATCGATGCCAGCCCTGTCCGGGCAAACAACCTCATGGAATGAAAAAGTACTTTGATCATGAATTCAAAAGGAGAGAGGGGTTATCGATGGTGAAACAACCTAGTAAAGTAACGTGCTTTGGTTTTGAAGCACACAAATTTTTAAAGTTCACTACACCGGCGAGGTGATCGGTTGTGTTCCGCTTTTGGCAAGGCCACCGTGACAGTGGCGCGAGGTCGTTGCAATGCTAAACCTAAATCTGTTCTACCCAAAAAAAAAGGGGCGCACAGCTGCTAAGCCACACGATCGGGGCTTAAATGCCTAGAAAGAATAGCCTGGTGGTGTGGTGTGGCCGTGGCTCTGCAAAATTATGTCTGGTCCTAGTAGATGTTTGAAAGTGGGTCAGTCAGGGTTTGATGCCACAACAACCTAGCCTAATGGGTGGGCACCCCTACAGTCCAGGAACAGGCGTCCTGTGATAAGCCAAGCCGAGTTTCATGCCTTGCGGCTTCATGTACCCTTCAGACTAAAACCCGAAGTAACCCCCGAAGTACGGACCTGGACTAATTACAGAAAGCGGGGTTTGTTTTTGAATTTTTGTGGGTCGATTGCGAGTATCTTTTGAGATTGCCCGTCCTTTTTCAACTTAGGGTCTGATCCGACTACTACTACGGAGCGTACTCTGCTGGGTTTCACGGGATCCAACTACTTTCCGATTTTGCAGGTCTTCCCGTCGAGTCCGGGAGGTAGTGAAAACAAATGTGTACGTGGCAGGTTTTCCGCAACCCACGGCAAAAAAGAACTTCCCAAAATCAGAAGAGGCCAGCGTCGTCCCAGCATCTAAACCAGGGGAAGGGGAAGTCAAAAAAAAAGGAAGACTGGGAAGGGGAAGTCAAAAAAAAAGGAAGACTGGGGGTTCGAGGAAAGCTTGTCGTTGCTGCGATTTCTTTTCGAGGAGGTTGGTATGAAGCTTAAAGATATGGGTATCAAGCATGACCAGGCGGAGTGTGAGAGGAGGTACTATCTCCTCCTTGACCACGCGAAGAAGACCCGGGATTCCCACAACCGTTCCGGGGAGCGTATCTATTGGAATGTGGCGAGGAACGAGAGGAAGGAGGCCATGCTACCTCTGATGCACGAGAGGCAGTATTTCGAGGCGTTGCAGTGGAAGCTGACTAAAGCAGATGGGCCGTGTGATGGGATGTTTCAATCGGTTGATCTGTAAAGGGGAGGCACTAGCACAGTCACGGACGACGACGACATGGGGGGGGGGGGGGAGAGTGATGCCGGTGCTTGTCGACGGAGAGGGGAGAGCGATGCTGGAGAAGGCACAAAACAAGCACGAACGGGGGCAGGTAGCAATCATGCCCATGGTCACAAGGCTGAAAGCCAGGGAGAGGGATCCACAGGAGGCTTTTTTGCATCCGTTGCTCATTCGCTTGTGGATGCACAGGTCAAGCAAACACAGACATTGGCCTGCAGTTTTGTGCAAGCTACAGATGGACTGAACAAAACAATGGCTGATGGCAACAACACACTTCTGCAATGTTTCACGATGCTGACGGGGACTATGGCGGGGCAGCATGTATCTGCTTCTTGTGAACCTGACGGTGACGGCGACGCGGATGGTTGTCCTCGCATTTGATCGTACAATGGCGGGTGACACGCACGTGCATGAAATGCTCGAGTGTGTGTGCTTTTTTTTGTTTTGGTTTTTTTGGGGCGTTTTCTCTGCTGGTATTTTGAGTGTGTGTGCTTTGGTTAGTGTCCTTTGCGCAGTTCAGTTGTCCGTGGATTTGGGACGGTCCGTCATCTGATGACTTCCCATCTGCTTGTGACGTTCGTCATCGCCTTCTTGCAGAATATGTGGAAGACGCTGGTCACGTCACCTTCCTCCATGTTGTCTCCACCTCTCCGCAGAGTACAAGAGGTTGTGGACATGGTGGGAGATTTTGCGCTCACCCATAGAAGGATGATCGAACAGGCGCATGCATGAGCTTGTGAGGAAGAGGGGTGTGCTCTTTACACGTGTGTCTGCAACGGTGGAAGAGATCAAGCGGTTGCAAGCAGAGGTGGAGAACTCCCACATGCGAGATGGTGTTGCAGTGTCGAGAGTGGAAGCAGTGGAACGCACAGCAGCTGCCCTGCGAGAGGACATCACGCGGCTGCAGCAACAACCGCCACTTTGGGAACGGGCCGCAGATAATTTCGAAGCGGACAGTGACAGTTTGTCACCACTGTCCAGAGCCCCGGCCGTAGACGGGCAGCCACTGTCGCCAGCGTTCATGTGTCTGTCGGACATGCCCCGCGGGAGAGCCCGTCGCCTCGTCATCTGCATAGGCGTGTTAGCACGCCTCCGGCAGGCACACCGGGAATATCCCCAGACGCAAACCGTCGTAATGTCACCTTTGTCGCTGAGCATTTGCGAAGGGCAATGTCCTTCGAACCGGACTTGTGACCGGGCTCATAGTAGCGAGTACGTGCACTGTGCTGGCTGGGACGGAGGTGGTCATTCCATGAGATCGCCGTCTACGGTTCTGGTTGTTTTTTTTTTCTTTTTTTCGGTCAGATGTGCTATAATATCCAACGGCAAATAGTTTGCAGCCCGTAGGGGCTGCGTTGACCATCGTTGTCTTCTGTCGTTTTGTGTCATGGACTGCAATGGTCGTCGGGCATGTACCGGCTATGAATCCCCCGCAGCAGCGGTCACCGCGGGCATGACCGCGGACTGCGGTCGTGACCGCGGGCCCGCGGTCATGACCGCGGTCCGCGGTCATGAAAGAAAAAAAAAAAAAAAAACTTCAGAAAATTCTGAAAACAATATATGTTATGCCAAACAATAAACTGAACAACTTTTGCCTTGGGGTCATATCCAAACTCGTTACCAAATTTGAGATAAAAAATAAACAAAATCTTTTATTTTTCTTACTAAAAGAATAAAAGTGAAGAACTTTTGCCTGAGGGATTTCTGTTTTTCATTTTTTTTAAATCCGAAACGAAGTCAAAACATAAAAATAAAAATATGAGGTTGTAGAGCGCAAAAAAACCTACAACCCCATATTTTTAGATTTGTTTTTGGCCCATTATCCTACGAATTAAAAATGTCGGGGTTTTCCGACCGCACTCGGCCGCGTGCGGTCGGCCCCTGCGGTCGAGGTCATGACCGCATGCGGTAAAACGACCCGCGGTCATGACCGCGGGTGATACATAGTGTACCGGTAGTCAGGGCGTCCGGAGGTCATCCGATAGGGGGAGACATTAAGAAGAAGGGATTAAAGGCGGGGAAATCATCTCGCTACCGAAGTATAGGGTAGGCGCCCAGAATTAGAACAGACGGGCGGTGGAGACCTGTCGTTTGTGAGAACGGGTGCGGAAGGGTTTTAGGGGGTCTTGCTGTTTTTACGAAGAAACTGAGGATTAGATCTCGATATATGTAGGTAACTTCTGTTTATCTCTGTTTTTTCTACTCTTGGAACATCTAAGGGCTCGAACTCAGTACCTTGGACGCTGTCTATGAGGGGTTATTTGTTTCCATTTAGGATAGCTTGTGAGGATTTGAGGATTTGAACTTGGTACCTGTTGAGGTTGTAGGTCGGTTCCGTTGGGTCTTCTATCGTGCGGCTGAGTTTGTGCGGACGGGTTGAAGCAGTGTGATGATGTCTGTCTTTGGGTGACCTTCTTAGTATATATAGTCTTTTCAGACTAGTGTCCACCAAGCGATTTTTAGACCCCTGAAGAGTCCTGGTTGGCAGCCAGGCGAAACCGGTCGGGTCGTAACGCCTGTCGGGAACTTTCTGTTTCCAGCTTTTGTGCTTCATGACAATTTTTTCGTAACTAAGTCGTGTTCGGGACACCTGTCTACTTGTGGTGTGCTTCTTCTTCTTCCTCTATTCTCCTTCTCCTTCTACCTTTCCTCTTTTTCTGTGCCTTTTGTGTGCTGCTGTGCATTGGGATATTAATTAAATGTCATCGAATAGCGTGACAACGGTGACATACTTTTGTTTAAGTGATATTACCATCGTGTGGCTTTGACTTCCACAATGGCGTCCAATGGTGTGCCTAATGTTCCGGCGGTTCGCAACTGTTACAATTGCGGCCAGCCTGGTCATATTTCCAGGTTCTGCCCGCTTCCGGATCGAAGACTGAATGGGGTGCAGCCATCGAATGCGATTTTGCCTGCGCAACCCTTGTTGACTTTGCCATCGACATCGAACGTGGGGACTGCTGTTCCGTACTACTCTGGGCCGTACAACGGGGGAAGTAGTGGTAGTGGGTTAGGACGAAAGGTTAGCACGCTGGAGGAGATTGTGGGGAGGATTAACTCTAAGCATGAAGCTAACGAAGCACGGTTACGTGAACAACGAGAGGAGGAAGAAAGGAAAAAGCGAGAGAAGGAGGAAGAAGAGCGTAGGCTTGCTGAGAAAAAGGAACGAGAAGAATTTCAGAGTGAAATGCACAGGGAAATGTCGACGAAATTGGATAAAGTATGTGATGATGTTAATGGGAAGAAGATTGGTGAGTCGAATGAGATTACGAAGTTGAGAGCGCTCGTTGAATCCTTGAGCCGGCAGTGCAATGGTGGTAGAACTACTGAGGGTGAGGAGGTTGTAAAGCTGCGTGCACACGTTGAGCATCTGAAACGGGTGAACGATGGGGCCAGTACCTCTGCGACATTGACCAGAGCGGCAAGCGAGGCGGACAAGTTGGTCCGATTGAGGCGTGAACAAGTGGAGGGCACTGGAGGCTAAGGCGGCGACTGATAAACGGCTCGCTACGCTTGAAGAGGTGATTTTCGCCTTGCAGAGGCAATGCGAAGCTGCCGAGGCTAATGCTGAAGTCTGGAGAAATGCGGCCTTGCGCCCTGGTAACAAACGGGGTAGTGTTGCGATTGGTCACACCCCGGTCAGTGATGCGCGTGTACGTCCGAAGGTGACTCTGATTGCTCACCTAGGGACATGGGAAGGGTTAACGTGCAGCTGAAAGGAATAGTGGAAAGGCATCAGCGTGAGGTTGACCTGCTTAAGGAGATGCGTTTACGAGAGGTCAACGCTCGGAAAGAGTCGGAAGACGAGGTTGAGCGGCTTAAAGAGGCTATGGCGAGGTTGGGAACGAGGAAGAAGTCTAGGGGTACCAATTTGAAAACAAGGATGGATGATGCGGCAGGGCCTTCGTCCGTGAAGGATAAGGGCAAGCAGCTGGTGTCTCCTACCGAGCAGGCTAACCGGAGGGATGTGTTTGTTCGTGATGCGAGAAAGCAACTTCGTAACTTAAAGAAGTAGGAGATTATCTCTATTTGCGAAAAGGAGGGGATCGAGTACACCAAATTGGATCCCACAAAGGAGGCTATCGCTCAATTACGGGCTAATCGAGCAGGTAAAGATGATACTGATGAGGATAGGGGTAACGGTAAGTGCGATTCTGTTGTTGATGTCACGGATGATGGGGGCGATACCTCCGGGAAGAGCGACGGGCGTGATTCGGCTACTTCTTAGAGTCACGCCCGAACGCGACTTTCCTATGCCAAGTAGTAAGGTTATGTTGTAGAATTCGTTCTCTCTCTGCGGAATTTTTGCGGTGTAAAGAGGTGAATCTGCCTTTGACTACATCTATCTGTAGCTTGATTCTTCTTAACGCGATCCCTTGGGGTGCTAAGCGGAGTGAGTTTTTTCTTCGAGCTGCTTCTGGTGGTGGTGGTATTGATGATTGGAGTGGTCCGATTGTGTATGCGCTGGTTTCTTCGTGGGCCCGTCACGTTTACATCAGTAGTACTCAACGTGATTTGCATTCCCGTTGGCGGGAGCATGTGTATCGGTCTTGCCAACAGAAGGTTATTGATGGAGGGCAGCGAAACGAAAAGTTGTATCAGTGGCTTCGTCGATGCGGTGCTCATACGTATGCCATTATTCCACTCTGTCGTGGTTCAACTGATGATTTATTGGACACTGAAAAATTCTTTATTCGGTTGTTGTCGCCTGCCCTTAACATTTGTGATAAGTCGAAACGTTCTCGAAAGCGGCGGGTTGGGCTACGTGAGAGGCTGAGAAGGAAGAAGGTGTGTAGGGATTGTCGGTTGAATAACTTTGATAGTGACGACAGACGTAGATCTCTTTGTAACTTTCACGCTGCTGATGGTACTGTTTCTGTTAGTTTGTTGAAAATTCTTGAGAAATGTAAGGTCAAGGGAGTACATCGTCTCATGGTGAGATGTTGTGGTGGTGATCGGCTCGTTGATCGGTGGAAGGTGCTAAAAAGATTGTACGGAGGTAGTCTTGTTGATTGTTGCTTTGGGAGGAAAGAAGTGAGATATGCCCGTGAATGGTTGAAAAGGGGGGTGACTATCCTGATTGATCCTATTATTCCTTTTCTTAGTCGTTCTCTTGCTCTGAAAGGTCCGTTAGCCTCTTTTCTGAGTGATCCTTCTAAACGTGTGGATCTTAAGCGGTGGGATTTTTATGTCTTGATCGCAGCCTATACTGCGGTGCGTGCGTTCAGTGAGAAGAGGACTAGATTTCGGCTGCGATATCTTCTTTCCCATCACCTCTTGTAAAGGTTCGGAGTACATGTGCGAAAGCGGTTGATCGTGCTCATTGTTTATGATGATCGTATTTGTAATTGGGGGTTCGGAGACCGTGTGCAAAGATTGTTGCTGGTCTTGATGTCCAAGATAGCTAGAAAGGGATGGTGGTACGTCGCATGCGTGTTGTGTGGTGCCGAAATAAAAATATCAGTGATTTGATCAATAACTTAAGTGCTTTCACTAAGTCTGGTGTGATGTGACGAACCAATTTCTGTTCCGCGCGATTTTCTGCGCGATGGCAATGAGGGGTCCTAAGATGGGAAGGTTGGGCCAAATACGGGAGATCAGGATTGAGGGAAAATTGCATCGGTGTCCCCGCTTTTTCGTCTTTTTGTGTTGCTTCTTTTCGGATGGATGGGTTCAGGGTCGGGCAAGTCCCGAGATGGTCGATTGAGTGGCTGTTGCACCGATAAAGGCGCGATTAATAATGTTTAACGTCGCTTCTTTCTTGTTCTGTTGTCGGATTTTTGGCGCGGAGATCGCGCGGTAATTTTGCTTCGTTCTTTTCAAATTTTCTTTTTCCTTTTTGAATCTTATCGAGCCCCGATGGCTCTCGGAACTTTGGATTTTCTTTTCGGAATTTGTGCTTTTTTTTTTTTGCATTAGCTAGGAATTTGGGATTTCTTTCACCGAGCGATGCTTGTACTTGCGCGCTTCTTTTTGCGGCTGCAACGAAGCTCTGATTAGTCGGCGCCCTTAATCTTGCAAGTAACTGTAATTTTGGGCGGGCGCCATTGTAACTGTATCTTTCTTCTTGAGCTTCGTCTTTCCCGCTCTCTCTTTCCCTTTTGTTGTGCCTAGTTATCCCGCGGCCTGCATGCTCGGATCGATGCATGGAGAGTGGCTACGTCCCCACGCCGCGGTCTGGCCATGCAGAACATAGGCGCTCCCTCCCCTAATCTCCTTTCTAAGTCCTTGCAATTCCGTGTTCTAATCTCATTTCTAAGTCCTTGCAATTCCGTGTTCTTTATGCATACATGCACGCTATAAATTTCGGCTGCGCGATTAGATAGCTCTCTTAACCAGTGTTTGGAAGCTCGGGGTAGCACGATCAGTGAGGGTCGACTCACGATCGACGTAAGAGGTGAGTTGAAGTGGGACTCAGGCGACCCGACGAGCTGGTGCCGAATGTGCGGGGTTGACGCGTGGGAATACGTCGGACTGTAGCCCGCGGGCGAACCTGACGGGTGCAGGAGGACTGAGCGGGGTGAGGACTTTGTGGGTTGGTGCGTGGCGACGGACTGTCCGCATCGGAGAGAGAGAGAGAGAGAGAAAGAGAGTTGAGGTTGATGAACGTAGATTTGCGATTTTCTTTGTCTTGTCTCCCTCCTTGCTTTTGTATATAAGTTTTGATCTCGGCTCAAGGCGATCCGCCCATCTTTTGCTTTCGGAACCTTGGCTTTGGCTTCAGCCCCCACTTGTTTTGCGATTGACTTCGATCTCGTTTATTGTGTGTTTTTGTCGAATGAATGGATGAATGGATCACTGACTGATTAGATGATTGGGTAGTTGTCTGTGTCACGTGGTGATTTTCGCATAAGGAATTAGACTCTCACTTTTCCAGGAACAAGCCAACACCTCGCGAGGTTACGGGTAAGCGTGATCTGATCTGTGCCGCCTACACGTATCCACGCGTGGCGATCCGCGACCATTAACGAACCTGACATCTCCGTGTCGGATAGGCGGGAATTTTCCTTCTTTCATGCACCTAAACGGATGGGAATTTTCGATATCATATCGAGAAATCCCCTTACCAGCTAGATGCGTACGGAAGGCTTCTACTACGCAGCAATGACAAGATGTTGGACTCAGGGGACTCAAGGTACTTCGAACCTTGGGTAAGAGAATATCTTAGGCGGAGACACCCAGAATTTCCATGCCTAACCGAGAACCGATTGTGTCCCAGGGAGTTTCACTGTGCCATAACCAGCGATCCAAGGTGCCCCGATTACCCAACCACGTATAACACGCAATACTTCATATCCCCCGGCTTCGTCGTCATCACTACCAATTTCCCTCCCTTCCGTCTTCTCCTCTCGTACCACCAACTCACGGTGGTACCGTGGAATTCCATCGCCCCGTATTGGCCCCGCACACCGTGCAGAAACTGCTGACAACGCGGACACCGCTGAACCCCTGGAACTTCGGAACCCAACCATAACGCGTGGCAACAGACGCGACATGTCTGCACTCGAAGGTCCGACTTATAGGGATTGCAACCCTCACGAACAAGCCTCTCCCGAACCGTCGTAATAAAAAACAGGATCGAACGGCCCTTGATGCCTCGCGCATGCCATCTGCCTTATGACTACACGACGTCAACCGCCATCAGACCGGAAACAACCCGCCCCTTTGCCCTATTGCATCTATGCCTCTGAACCCTTGCCGCAGGAGATCTCAGTTCCGACCTGGGACTCCACCCCCACTTTCCCTAAAAATCCTTGGCACACCCCTTTTCGCACTTCCAGGCCCACATCCCACTCCGATCAGGAAGTCGCGTCGGGCGTGAGGTTGGGCGTCACATGGCAGTTTACTCATGTTCCAATGTGGATAGTTCTCTTCTGCTGGCTGATGGTCATGTGTCGTGTCGGGTTAATGATTTGTCGCCGGTGTTCCCTTTGTGGTTTTGGGATTCAAAGAATCCGGTTCGTCCATCTAGGACTCGGTTGTTATCCGGTGTACGGTCGCAGATCGTGTCCTCTTTCGAGTCTCATCCCTCGTTGCCTAGCCCTGGCCACGAGTCTGTTTCGCTTGATATGGTGAAAAGCTGCTTCGTTAGCGATTGTGACGAACCACTTCACGAACCTGAGCTATCTTTCGTACCCTTTCTTTTGCTTATATCCTACCAACCCCAGGAAAAACCCCGTTTTGATTTCTTGCTTTCGGGTGCTGCATTTTCCTTTTTTTTTCGAAAGCTTTTTCGACTGCTGAGTTGTGTTTTTTCTTTTGCAAAGTCAGGAAATACATGGGAAATTGCGCACGCCTTAGCGAGCGCGCTGGGAATTGGGCTCGGTAGTTGGGAACTCCGGGATAAACGGAACGTCGATGTGTCCTTTTTGGGTGTGTAAATGTTCTTGGGCGCGTCGGGGAAAACTTTTGGAATTTCGACCAGACACGAATAGGCGTAGGATTTTCTCTTCCCGCGTTGTTTTTTCGCGCGCGGGTATGGTGATTTCAATTTTGAATTAGGAGCCAGCTGCA